TTGTTAAAATAAATATATTCTAAAAATGTAATACTTTGTATTTTAATATATCCGTAACGATAGTTGCTCAGTGGGTGTGGGATTTTATGGAGAGCGTTTCCCTCCAACATTTGTTTTACTTATATTAAGACCTTTGTGGAGGGGGGCTTGAGTCCCCCCAAAAAATTTAGTCAATTTGCGCCTATGCTACACTCCATACTTGTGTTTTTCTGATGTTCATGTTTGTTCCATTTGTGGTGAATAGTTTTCTCTTTTTGAAAAATATGTTCTTAGTTTGAGCTATTCTAAAATTATATCCATTATACTTTTCCTGTCGCTTGTAATTTTGCATTATTTTATTACTAGACATAGACAAAAAATTGCTTCCTTTGTTCATCTATTCCTTTTAAATCCAAATTGATTATTTGTTAGATTTAGATTTTTGAACTGAACCATAATTACTAAACACACTAAATTGACACATTAATTAATTTTATTAATTACATAAAACATATTGGATGTATTCATGTATATTGATACATTTTATCACTCTATGGAATTGAAAGTAGAAGTATTATTGTATACTTATTTAAGAGTAAAATGTGCTTATCATTGTATTTTACATTTTATTTATTGTACTTATTGTCTCAATAATTATTTTAATATTTTTTCGATCATTAATATTATGAATATTATTTTAGTTTATCTTATCGTTAGCAATAGACAATAGTGTATTATTTTGTATTTGGATTTTCAATTATGGTATGTATAATTTTCCCCTTAGGCTCCAGCTTTTGGTACATGGTGTTTAGTGGCAAATGAAATGTACAATTTATTTGTCTTGGCAAACAATCTCGATGAAGAGTCTAAAATTGCTATGGAAACATTAAGATCAGTTTTAGATATTGATACCAATTTTAGCGAGAGACGCTGCCGTAAAGTTCAGCCTATTGCCATGGCAGCTTATCAGGAAAATTTGCCATCACATTACAACAGAAACTATCATGACACTAAAGTATTATATTATAGGATACAATAAAGTGATGTAAGTAAAATTATTTTCTGTATTTTATAGGTAGCTCAAGCACTTTCAGTGTTTGCTCAACATGCCCGTGGGCCTTTACTCGATGATTATATTCAAATTTTAGTTCAAGACTGTGATAAATTATGGCAATCAGGTCGTCAAATGTGTGAAACTCTTTCTTTGACTGGAAATCCATGTACACAACCTTTACATAAAGGGGGTACTGTTGATGGACCTATCAAGGAACCAGAACAAGATGACAAGTAGTTTTTATTATTTAAACCAGGATGGTTAACAATGCTTGCTATAATATATTAGCTCTGTTACTTGATACATATACTTGCATGAGAAATATTTAGAATATATTCTAACATATTTATTACATTATCCTTATAGATATAAAACTCAATATTTTGAAATTTAAACATTTTTTCACTTTACCTAATTATATTATCATACCAGAACATCATCTTCCCCTCAAATGTATTTATACATAATAATTAAAATACTATGAAATTTATATTTTTACTTAAACAGGGCTATTTTAAATGTACATTTTATTCAACCTCATAATAATGAATAAAGAAATTTCGATCACTCCCAGTTTCTGTTTATTTTACCTCCTATGGGTTTATCTATCTCTCACACAAAATGCTAAGCCATACAAATAATGCTAAAATATATTTTTTTTGTTCTAACTTCTATGGTCTATTATTTCATTAAATCTTTTCTACAACTATTATTTTACGTACTTATGTTACCCATATACAAATATGTCACTAGACACAAAAATCAGGTATTAATCCCTAGCAAATACATATATTTAAAAAAATTAATAAAAAAAAGTTCTACTTAAACTTTATGAATGACCAAACATTTTTTTTTATTTAAGGTGTACTCGTTTTTGTGAAAATTGCCTAATAATATTACATTTAATATTAATCTAAGGTTTATTTTTTAATGTTTAAGAAGCCATCCTATAAAATTGCATTTGTGAATTTAATATACCAATGTTAGTAACATGTTTCTCCATACCAAATTTCATTATACTTTTTATTCTTATATTCGATTATAAATAACTGTTAACATAACTAAATGTTGTCCACTAAACACAAATTTGTAGAGGTATAATATTTATGAGCTTATAGCTTTTAAAAGTAGTCTATATTTTGAGTATACATATACTTGGTATTTACAGAGTTAAAACTTAAAAGATTAAAAGTTTCAAAAACACTCAATCTAATACTTTGTTGTTATATTTTTAGGTTATTGAATTCATTATTTGTTTAATAAGACTGCTTAAAATTATTGTTATAAATTATAATAAATAAAAAATGTCGGTATTTAAAAATTGTCTATTTCAAATAAAATAAAATTTTAGAACATTATTTTATTTATTTTGCTTTATATTAAAATGATTTAACATTTCCAATTAGTATCTAAGTTGACAAGATGCACATTCTTTTGCTTGGCGTGGAGTAACACATTTACTTAGTACCTAGTGAGAGTAATGCTTATTAATTATTATATTCCTGATAATTTATTTATTATTTTATACTTAATAGTTAAGAACATTTATTATTTTAGAGTATTCATGTAAAGACTATACTTAAACAGTTAAACACTATTATATTTGTAAAGATAAAACATAAAAAATTTTTGATATTTTCAGTTTTTACAAATAGCATGTTCATTTTCATATAATTAAAAAAAAAAAAATCATAGGAAATAATTTTGGTTGTTTATCAGTTGAAAGTATATTTTTATTGGCTTTACAGCCATATTAATAGGGACGAACTACTTATTATGGAACATTCAAGTAGTGTCATGTACTTGTCAGCATGCAACTGTGGTCACAAGCAAGGTACTCGTGAGGATCCATTTACAATTAGAACAGCTAACTATGATTTTTATCAAATTATGGCCAATGATTGTGTCTGTGGTTGTTTAGACAGAATTAATTTCCCGGTGTTTCAACCTAGTACACAAGATTATAGGTGAGATTTTTGGAAAAGCTTATACATTAATCTATATTGATAAGATTGTTTATATAGAGCGGCACAATTGTTTGCAAAGCCTCCAGTGATCGCTGGTAGAAAAAACAGTGCCGGTTTATTACACACACCAACTCAAATGGGCCATACACAAGTATTAAGTTTAGGAGGTTAATAAAAGTTATTTATACATTATTTCTAAACTGTTACATTATTATTTATTTTCAATAATTTTGCCCATTTTGTGCATAGGAGTTTTTACCAGTTGTCATTCTGTAGATCCAATAAATGAAATTTTGGGCGAAGCATCTCGAAACAGAGAAGTTCCTGATAGACAGGGCCTTACTTCAGTTGAATTGACAAACATGCAAAAAAATGAAGACATTATCTCAGGAAATCAGATTGTTATTAGAGTAACTGATACAGATGGTGACACAAAAGGTAATATTTGATAAATTGTTAATTTACTATTGATATTTATGATGGATTAATTTTTTCAGACAAATCATTAGTTCGACAACCAAGTACCACAGAATACTTACCAGGCATGTTGCATACCGAATCGCCTAATAGTTTGTTGCCTCAGTTCCCATCTTGGTCTTTAGTATGCCTAGGCTCTTCTTGTTTGTATTCGCATAATATAGGACTTCAAGAAACACAACATCCTGGATTTTTAAATTCTACAGCTTATCTTCTACCTTGGGATGTTACTGTTCGATTAGAACATCATCCTAGAGATAGATACTGGAATTCTGATAAAAATAAAATTAACTCATCTCCTATTCAACGAGGACGAAAAACTAAAGGTTCTCGAGGTAACATAAAGTGATTGTATTCAAAATGTAACTATCCTAATATTACATAATATCAAAAAAATTAAATGATAAAATTGTTGATTTAGAATTTTCTGTTAAAATTTTCATTGGAGTTGAATATGAATGCCCAAGAGGTCATCGGTTTATGTGTTCAGCACCTGACAAGATATTAACTACTGCAGGTAATGGTATCGTGAAAGAAAACGGAAATAAGGTATCTAATTCAGATATGCCATTATACTTTCCGTGCCCTTGCAGGTAATTCATTAACTTAAAATTTTATTGTATTAAATATTTGATTTAAAAATTAAAATATTATTTATTTTACAGCTCAGCTCCTTTGATAGCTCAGCTAATGAGAATCCACGTTGTAACTCCTAAAGCACCTGTACACGTAACTCTAAATCCTATGGTGCAACCTGAAGAAAATGGTGGTCCAATATTTGTAACTGGATTCGATGCACCTATTGAACTTACACAGAGTACTTATTGGGTACTTCGACTGCCGTATCCTTTAGATTCTTAAGTTTTTATAATATTTATTTATTATTATATATTCATTATTCACTGATAGGTACTATAAAAGATTAACTATTATATCCTTTTATGATTGTTTTGGAAATGATTACAATATTTATGCATATATTATAGAGAATACTACCTTAACTTGATCATGTTTAGTTATGTGTATGCAGGTGATCGAGGTCCATATCTTCCACCAAAAGATCCATCACAGATAGGTCAAGGAAAGCTTCTTAAAGGAGTTTATAGTGTAGCCGAAGCAACAACAGATAACAACAAACTTAACATTTAAAATAAATCAATACTTTATTTTTGAAAATATTTTTATTTTTTTATTTGGCACAATAAATTAATGGAAGGACTTAATTACTTGAATAACACATTCATAAATAATGTAAGCATTTAATTTTTAAGTACAGTGAAACAAACATATTATTATTATTTGAAGTGTATAATATATTGATAATATTAATAAAATGCAAATGATTCAATTTTCAACTGAATAATAATTCTGAAGAGTGTAATGGAATAAAATTGATTAAATATAATTATAATGAAAGACAAATTGTTTTAAATAGGCAAAAAGAGTTATTTCTCTGTACTTCTTAAAAATGTTTGAAAAATTAAAGAATTACAATAAAACGAAAATGTTATCTTTAGTTACTTCTATTTGTCGTCAGACATAGTAGTTAAAATGCAATCACATGTAGTGCTTTTTGGTATACGTGAATTTTTATAAACAAGTTGTAAATGCTTTGATAATAAATCAGAGTTAGCACTCTCTAACATAGCCACCTTTTTATGCAATACGCTAAGGTGTCTTGCCATATTTCGCAGCTCATTCTCTGACATTGCAATTCTAAGAACATTATAAAACATAACTTTAAAATTTATAAATACTACAAAATTGGATTTGATTATTACCTAAAATCAATATTGCGTTTTTCTTCTTGCAAAGATCTGTAATCTGTTTCTACTTGTTTGCGGAACTCTTCTTCTGTCTTTAATCTGCGTTTTTGTATACTTAATTGTGTTTTAAGTGATTCCATTTGACACTGACTGGCTTCCAAATTACCTCTAACAAATATAAATAGATTATTAAATTCATATATACGAGACTTAGTTAATTAAATTGGACTGTTTATTATTTAATATTTACTTTAAAGCTTCAATTTGCATTTTTCTTTTAGATTTGTACTGCAAATGTCTAAGTGCTAGTGCATTGTATTTTTCACCAAGAGATGACACCAAGGTCTTTTGAGCATCTAATTCCACCTTAAAGTGTTATTTACATTATTAATGTAGTTCGAACTGATACAATTCCAAATGAATGAAAAAAAGAAACATTTAAGCTATTTTTTTTTTATGTATTAAATATTTTTAATATGTTGTAGTTTTTAAATTTGTTTATGCTGAAGCAGGTCTACAAAATATTTAATGCTTATGACTTATGATATTACTTTAATTTTTTTTCGTTCATCTGATTGGTTACTCAACATCCCATCTGTTATAATAGTTGAAATTTGTCGTGGAGTCGCTAATTCACTAGATAATAGACTTGGTGGTGTTGATTCTGGGCTATAATTTTTCATAAACAATTAATAATTCAATTATAATAATATTAAATAAAAATGTATAATTCTTATTTCAATATAATATGGTATGGATACTTTTAATCTAAACCATACAAATTTTTGGATAACTTTTAGGTACAACCTGTTTAGTTAGTTCCAATTCCTAAAAACATAACAATCGACTTAAATTCACAGTCCTCTTAAAGTTTGGTAAAACTTATCTTTTTATTTTAAACGAGTATTTGGAAATATTAAAGGTACTGGAACAGTTAAAATAGTAAAGTGTTTAAACTGAAGACTGGTATAATTAATTCAACATTTATAGATGGTTTTATTATATGTACCTTAACAGTATTCTAAAAATTAAACTATATACCCAAAAGTTCTTGTTATTTCATTAACATTTTGTTTCTGATCATCACTCTTTTCCTCTTGTGCACAGTTAAAAAAATCATTACAAATATTGCTTGCAGATTTCGTTCTATCACTAAAAATAAAAAATTAATTAATTTCACTGAAAACAAAAAGCTCATATATTAGTCTGTTACCTGAATAATTGGATGCTTATACTCGATGTATCATCATTTGTTATATTTCTGTTCCAAGACATTGAATTATCTGAATAAAATTAAATAAACAGATAAAATATGTATTCAAATTAAAGATTTTTCATTAATTATCTACAAAAACCAAATTTAATATCAGTAACACATTATTAAGTCCAATAAGTAGGACAAATACGTAATATTTTTAAAAACCAACCAAAATTAAAAATTACATGCTCTTTAAATGTAATTTCATATGTTATAACTTATAAGTAATAATAACATAGGCACTAGGCGTAATATTTTTTTTAGATCATGCATCACATTCATCTGTACATGCTTTATTCAGAGTTTATGAATATCTATGTATTTATTATGTATAATTTAAAATACTAACAAAACATTATTTATATACATGAGGCATTGTAGAATATGAATTTGGAACTCTTGCTAATTTAATAGTTGTTGGGCATATAATATAGTACTTGCCGGAAAGCTCTCATATATATAAGTAATTAAATGATTTAAATACCGGCCGCAAATCCAAGGAAATGCCCTATTTTTTTTTTTAAATCTTATATTCAGGTGCCACTATTGGGTGACTTCCCACTCCCGCTTATCAACCCATATCCCATTTACTTATTGTACTACATGTAAATACAGATTGTAAATATAAATTTTTGTTCAATAAAAAAAAAAAATCTTATATTATATTTTTTAGTCAATTACTTATTAACTGTTGAAAAACATTGTAAACTACTTAGTAGTTATAAAAAAATATGAAAGTATTTATTATTCATGCTCATATTTCAAACACAATATAATTGAAATTATTCACATATCATGCACAAAAAATTAAGATTAAAATTCAATTTTGTTGCTCAGAAGTTGATCAAGATTTTTTTTTCACTTTTAATAAAATGTATTAAAATATAACATATAATATTATAATTAATCATATTATTATTTATTCTTACAATCCATACATTTTTATACTTTCATTCTACAAAAACATATTTTGTTATTAAGAGGATGTCATCCCACATGTGTTGTCTCCGTCCTACAAATGTTCAACATAGGTAGCAAAAACTGTTAAGCGCGACAACTTTACTCCCTCAGTAGTTTTAGTAGAATTACTAAAATTCCACAACGCATAGGGAAGAAAACTTTGTCCATGTTGTAGTTTTATAATTTTTAATTATTAAATGAAAAAAAAAACTTTAAATGTATTTAAGTTATCCAAATAATAAAAACACTATGACACAGATAAAGTTCTTCACAATTGCGTTGTGGTATTTTGGTAATTCTACTATAAATACAGAGGGAGTAAAGTTGCCATGCCAAAACAGTTTTTGCTATGATGTGCATTTTTAAGACAGAGGCAACACATGCGGGTCTGACGTTCTCTTAATAATAAAATTTGGTTATTCTGTATACAAAATAAAAAGAACTTGTCAACTTCCAAACTTTAATAAGTAATTATTAATCTGCTATTACATAATCAACAATTATTATATTATATTTATTTAAAACTCAAAATCAGCAACAGTATAAAAAAAACTATCAATAGTAATTGTAACTCATCACTGGATAGTGGTTGCACAGGCAAATCTAGAAAAAAATATCAATTACCCAATAAAGAATCTTTCCCATCAATTTTGTTTGAATTTTCTGATAGCTAAGATTAGGAAGAGAGCATTATTAAATAAAAATAATTAATAACATTGTTTTAAATTTGTATTATTAATTTAAATTGTTTATACATTATCTAAAGTAAGTAATGATCCAGTTAACTCAATTTTTTTTATTTACTAAAAAAAAAATAGTTCTAAATTATTTTTAATTGTATACTTTTGAGTCTTAGATAGAGGATATAATTTGTTTTATAATAAATTAAAATTAATATACTATAATAATACCTCCATCGATATTAGTTGAGTATTATATTCTGTTTTAGTCATGTCATAAACACTAATCCGATCTTCCAATTCTTTAACTTGTCTTTTTAAAGATTCTTTTTCAGCCGAAATCTACAAGTAAATAACTTATATTTATTTTTAATGCTGCAATAGGCATAACAAGTGAACTGTTTACTTTAATCATTTCAATTATTAAAACGTCATCAGATTCTTTACAAATTCCATTTACATCAAAACTTTTAAATTGTTTTAATATGTTTACTTCATTCACAAGAGACGTGTAACCAAGAATCAAATTTGAAACCTAAAAAGAATAAGAAGTATTGTAAACAAAGGTTTAATTTAATAAAACTAACTTTTATTACAACATTGTGACATTATATTTTTATAATTTCTGCTTAAAATTGTTTGCATCTAAAGTTTAAACTTTTTTTTTTTAAAGTATAATACCGTACTTAACCTTGTCTAACACTTACTTAGCTGTAAGGAAAATCAAATGTTTAAAAACATTGCTAAGAAGCAGGTAAGTGACTTACTAATATCAAACTCAATTCAAAAGTTTAAATGTATTAATTTTTAATATAAAATATATCACTTCTCTTTAAAATTTTAAGTTAAAAGAAAATATAATGTAATAAAAGTCTAAAACAGAAATAGAGTAAAATTTATGAACAGTAAAAACAAATAATGGTGTAAATTATATTTACTTCGAACCATTGATTATAAATACTATAGATTGCTCACTGGCCGGTTTTTTGGTGGCACAAAATATTTACTCCCGTTAGATGGCGAGACGAAATGACTACTAGCGATTACAACGTTATGCGACATTACTAACCACAAACCCGCACCAAATAACTCGGCCGCCCAGTTTAGTTAGATTGGATAGCGTTGTAATCGCTAGTAGTCACGTGACCTCGCCATCTACGGGGAGTAAATATTTTGTGACACCGAAATCCGGCCAGTGAGCAATCTATAGTATTTATAATCAATGCTTTGAACCCTTACTTATTTCATTTGTAAATATGTCTTACAAAACTTGAAATTTTTTTTAGTCAACAATTAGTTATTTCCCATAAAATAAAATGTATCTCTATTAGTCTTACCTTGTCACAGACATTATCACCATCTATCGATTCTAAACCATTTAGTTCACATTCAAGTTTTGCAACTTGCTCAGCAAAGATGGACATAGTTTTTTCCATATCATCAATTCGTTTATCAGCAAGTACTCGTATATGAACCATGTAATTTTCCATATCCTAATAGTCATTTAGTTATTTTATTGAAATTAAATATTTTAACTAATAATAGAACTTACCTCCAACTCTTCATTCTGTTTTAAACGTAATTTTTCAATCATTTTCCTTGCGTTCTGTAAATTGATATCGGCATCGACTAACCATCTCCAAACATGAATCAATTTCTCATCAGCCTTCAAACGGCTATAGTCAATGCCTTCTTTTTCAAACCGTTTTTCAATATCCGACCATTCATCTTCACACTGAAATTTATCGTGTTAAAAAAAATGTCATTGGCAAATCAAAAATTTTCTTACCATCGTATTTTTCCAAGGTACCTTTGTATTCGGTTATTTAAATATACTAAGAAACTAAGTTAGTAATAAGATTAGAATTATGTACACATGGTAAATTAAATACTACCTAGCTAATTTATAAATTAATATGAATCTAAATATTGGTAATGTTAATAAAGTATTGTATCAGTTTATACTTTATTTATCAGTATTCACTATTCACTTGATATTACTGCATTACCAACCAACTACTTTTGAATACCTTTTATCATCTGATACCATGGTTAGGTAATAGTTCAACTGGACCTATAGTGTGGTAATAGATAATAATTGATAGGAAATATAATAAATAATAATCTATCACGTGCTTACTGCTTGATTTGTCTGCCTCTGCACTCGCCACCCTGCATAATTATAGTTTTTATAATTTAAAAAATAATTTTAAGTTTTGTTTATTTTTTCCATTAAATTCACAATGGAATCACATATTAATTTTCACGAAATGAATATAGACGATCGTATACTGAAAGTGGGTATAATACACTTAACTAATATAATATTCCCTGTTTACTTTTATCGATGGATTTATTTTAAATCTATTCCAAACTTACAAAAATGATTTTATTTTAACTTATTATTTCACAACAGGCAATTGCAAATCAAGGATGGACAGAACCTACATTGGTTCAAGAACGTGGTATCCCGCTCCTGTTGGAAGGCAAGGATATGTTGGTGAGGGCAAGAACAGGATCTGGAAAAACTGCAGCATTTGTTATACCAGTAATTCAAAAAATATTAGAATTCAAAGATGTAAGAAAATGATTTATTGTCAATAGTTAGGTATTAATTATTTGTCAATTGTCATAAGCGATAATTACAATTGTATAACTACAAATGTTTTAGATAAATGCAGATACTTATTGTACACAAGCATTAATATTAGCTCCAAGTAAAGAACTATGTAACCAGATTTTTAAGAATATACTCCAGTTAACTATCAAATGTTCAAGAGATGTTAAATGTGTCGATATATCTGATCAAGTTAGTAGTCTTACAATTTAAGAGTAAAATTGAATTTCTAATTATATTTTTATACTTTTATATTACAATTTATTATTTTTTATAACCAAATAACTAAACAATCTGACAATCTGCGTATGATTGGCTAAACACCCTTTTTTTTTTAGGAATTATCTTATTTATATTTTAATATTTCAATTTTTGAGTACTTAACTTTTTTCTATGATTACCTTAATTACTAACAAGATTCACTAACCTACCGGAAAAGATGCTAAAATAGAAAATCAAAGCATTTTTACCATCTTAAAAAGTGATAGTCGCAAAATTTTTTTAAAAGAACGTCTTAAATTCAATACGTACAGAATATAAAATATTGAAACAAATTTTATAAAAATATCAACGGTTTAAAATAAAATATAAATTAATTCATTTCTTATATTACTTAGTGCAGACAAAATTATATCCAAAATCGTGATAATTGTATGCAATAATAAACAATGTTGGCGCGCAATTAAATATTATCAAATAATTTGAGTATTCGTTTAGTATGTGACATACCTAACCGATAATTAATTTAAAAACAGTCTAAATTAAAAATCATAAAATTATGCTAATGATTATTTAATTAATTAGTATTACAAATATAATATAATACAGGATTACATTTAATAATGTCAAAATCAGTTTAAAAAGATGTATGAATACACAGTGAATAACAGCAATATGTCAAAATTATTCAAAAAATTACGTTATAAACTAATCGTATTTTATTTTTAAATAATTTTTATCAAAGCTTTGCACCGGAATCATTTTTTTCAGGTTACGAGTGTTAAAAGAAAATTTGGGTGTTACGGGTTAATACACTTTTCTGGTTAAGGTTAAATACAAATTTATTCGGGTGTTCAAAAAAAAACCCATGTTGTATATCAGTTAACATGAGATTTTCAATGCAAATTTGATATACTAATCCGATTTTATATTTAAAGTAAACATAAGGAAAAAAATAAAAAAATAAAATTAAATATTAATACCTACTTATTAGTTATTAGTTTATTACTTATTACTTAGTACTTACTCGGTTATTTTTCTACAGAAGAAAGTTTTTGCTTATTAAATATTTTAATTTTTAACTAAACATATTTTTGTTATATTGTTTTTTGATTAAGAATGTTAAACAACACAATTACTATTGTCTATTATTGAATATTATGAATTAAAATAACAATCATGTAGCATCAAGGTCTTTTTTAATATTTAATTAATTATTAATTTTTACTTATTATTAATTATTTAGTTATCTGTTACACACTTACACTACTATCTTCTTATCTTCTTAGTCGCGTTAGTTGCAAAAAATACACTCAAATTGATATGCCAATTATTTTTCAATAATTTGGGTTTCGGGTGTTTTTTGGGTGTTAATTTTTTGGAATCGGTTTTTTATAAACGGGTTTTGGGTTATGATTTTTATTTGGGTGAATTCGGGTTACGTGTGCAAAGCCTTGATTTTTATCATTATACTTTTTGTATATTACTTAAAAAATGTTTAAAATGTATCTAACCTGTTAATAGATCGGTACTCGTACATTGCCCGTACATAATATAGATAATCGTCTTGGTAGGCACATACTAAACTCAACTTTCACTTGGTAGGTCACAAATACCATAATTTGTAATTGAAGTACATCAGCCCAGAATTTTAATACAAGGTTCTGAACACCCGGAAATTTCCCAGTAACAGTTGACCAATCTGCCTCTGCTGACAATTATAAATTATACATAACCGAAGAAGTCTCTCTGCTGTAGTTTAGGTGTCAAGTGTAATGAGTAGGTTGCTGTAATGGATAATATGTTAAATTTAAATTTAGTGATAAATCATTGCATATGAAAAACAGTTCTGAGCAGAGACAATTTGTCTGCAGTCAGCATTAGAGACATCAGCCTATAATTCTAAGGATATTTTATTTGAAGCATTTTTACTTTGCCAAAAGCTGATGACACTCAAATAATAAAAAAAAATTAAAAAATAGTTGTAAGACATATATATTATAATATTTATTCATCGATTTATTGAGAATCTAAAATATAAACAAACTGTTAACTTATTTAGATTGATATGAAAGAACAACAACCTTTATTAAATATACCACCTGATGTTATTGTGGCTACACCAGCTAGAGCATTGCTTCATCTACAAGGAAAAAACATGACACTTAAAAAACTTCAAACACTGGTGGTTGATGAAGCAGATTTGGTATTCTCGTTTGGTTTTGAAGAGGAAATTAAAGAAGTTATCAAGTGAGATAAATTAAAATTTCAAATGTTAATAAGAACTATTTTAAATTTTGAATGATCAAATACACTCCTGATATGCTACAGATTTTTACCAAAAACATATCAAGCTGTTTTGGCTAGTGCAACATTATCAGAAGATGTTATGGCATTAAAAAAACTACTTCTACGAAATGCTGTCATATTAAAACTGCAAGAACCTGATTTGGCTCCATTATCACAATTAACTCATTACAAGTTGAATGCTGAAGAAGAAGATAAAGCTGTAATTTTATACTGTATTTTTAAGTTAAAACTTGTGAAAGGAAAAACTATAGTATTTGTTAATTCTGTAGATAAATGCTACAAGTTAGTATATTTTCTAATTTTCATGAAGTTCATCTATAGTAATATTTTTTTTTGTTAGGTTAAAATTATTTTTGGAACAATTTGGTGTTCATACCTGTGTATTAAACTCTGAACTTCCGGCCAGTTGTCGGTGTCATACAATAAACCAATTCAATGATAATATATATGATATAATACTTGCATCTGATGAAAAATTTTTAGATGAAGAACATGAAATAACTTCAACTAAGACAAGGTAAATAAAAAATCAAACTTTTCATTTTTTTTTCTTACTGTAAAATAGTTACATATATTTATTTGTAATTTCTATTTTAGTAAACGTAAACATGATAAAGAATTTAGTGTAGCAAGAGGGATAGATTTTCAATTTGTGTCAATTGTTATTAACTTTGATTTTCCACCAGATATTTATTCCTACATACACAGAGTTGGTCGTACAGCGAGAGGAAAAAATAAAGTAAGAAGGTACTCTTTTGATACATAATTTTCTAAAATTATTAATTTCTTATATTATTTGCTTAGGGAACTGCCATTTCTTTTTTAAATATTAAAGAACAAAATTTATTAAAAGATGTTGAAGATTACATAAAACAAGGTATTTCAGAAGAAAATGACATATTCCAAGATTTTAATTTTAAATTGGAGGAAGTTGAGGGATTTAGATACCGAGCTAAAGATGCTTGGCGAGCTGTCACTAAAATTGCTGTTAGAGAAACTCGACTAAAAGAAATCAAATTTGAAATGTTAAATTCAAAAAAATTAAAAGTAATACCATGATTTTATTTTAAAATAATCTAATACTGTTAAGTTCATCTAATTTGTAATTGTACATTGTTTATACAGCGATATTTCCAAGAAAATCCCCGTGATTTATTGTCTTTGAGGCATGACAAAGCTTTACATACAGTGAAATTACAAGATCATATGTCAGATGTTCCTGATTACATGGTGCCTACTTCTTTAAAAGAATATATAAAAACACAAGAAGAAGAAGATAAAGGAATTAAAAAAAAGGATAAAGCGTATTATAAGAAAAAACAAGCTGGATATAAGAAATATCATGCGAAAAAAACCAATCCTCTTCTTGGAATGGAATATACTGGATTGAAGAAAACATAAGCAATCTGTAGTATTTAATGTTGTTTTAATTACTTTAATGTATTGTTTTACTATTTATTTTTATGGAGTAATAAAATCATTATCAATACATTTATACTTTTATACAACCTATTTTATTAGTTATGAATTTGTTATTATCTAGGCTCGTAAGTTCATGCATCTGTATATTTTTCTGCCATATAGGAAAACATGCTAACTGAGATACAAATCGTTTCATAACAAGAGTAATAACAATGTAAAATTTAATAGTGCATGGTTTTGCATGTTTTGGGTGTAAAGGCATATTTGGCATATAGTCGATTTTTTAGAGTTGATAGCGCATATTATTTGCTTAGTATGTTACATTATGTACATGTTCAAACTATAAACACTGGATATAAAAAATACTTAAATACTTAATTTATATTATATAGGTACCATAAATTAATAGTTATTAGGTAAGTACCATATTATAAATTATAATTACATTTCTTAAACTGTGGTAAATTTTGATTTATAGGTAACTTGAATCTGAGAAAAATCAATACACACTTATGTAATTTGTCATTGACACATATATTATGACAATGTAAGAGTTAACTATAGGTAACTAGACATTTTAATAACAATCTATAGTTACCTAACTAATATTATTACAAAAGAATATCTTTTATATTATAATTTATAAAATTTATAAAACAAAGTAAAAGCCTATTTTTAAATGTTTGACCAGAGTACATATTCACTTGCATGATTATTTTCATACTTATTACGTAGGTATTATTTATTTTATAAGTTATAATTAATATAACCATTAATCTGGGGGAGATTAGTTCAATTAATCGTAAATCTGAAACCTGGTTATCAAATGATTTAATTGACACTGAATTGTGTAGATTCCAAATTCCAAGTATTTGCATGACTGCATTGCCTGATGTAATAAATTATTAATAAATAACTATATGTAGCAATCAGTGGTGGAGGTGTTCTTATAGCTGCAAACAGTGCAAACAACCAGTTATCTAGGTGTTGATTAACTCCATGAAAATCATTTGAACAGGTGTTTGTAAAAAATAATTTTAAATGTTACTTGTAAGTTTATCATCCACTTAGGCCTGATATTAGTATTTATGTAGATAAACATATTACTATATTATTAGCATTTAGCATTATAGATATTTAAAACTAGATATAATACCTATCTATTGTTCTATTGTGATTATTATAATCTTAAAAAATATAAATATACAATAGGTATTTAAATATTAGATCAAGCAATAAGCTTAACTCAGGTAGCCTGGGACAGTGACGTATTTAGGTTTTTGTCTTGGGGGGGGGGGGGGGGATATGATTTTATCCAGTAGTTCCGCCTTTGAAGTTAGATGCCGAAGTTAGGACTCCGAATATGTTGCATATTATATACTGTCTAGCTATTGAGGGGGATTGATCCCCTCCCTGTAAATACACCACTGAACTGGGATGGTCTACTAAAATGTTTAAATATAAAATATGTAGCTGTTGGTATAGTATATGACTTATAATTTCCTAACAGATATAGCCATATAGGTATGTAAAATTGTAAACTCCTAAACGCTTTAAGTTTATTAGTACTATATTTCCAGCTTTAGAGTTTAGGTATTGAAATTAAAAATGTAATTAATTTTTAAGAACAAAATACATTACAAATGTTTATGTTTTTGATGAATTTGTGAAAAACTGAAACTTGAAAATCACTTCTCTACAGGCTACGCATCACTGTCATGAGCTATTATTTTTATTTTATCATGGATAAATACTAAATACTTACCTACATACTAAATACTTACCCACTCGTACGATCTAAAGGGATATGTATCATGTATGTCGGAATTTGTATACGCGCATAGGCCCAAATTGGAGGGGGGGGGGGTGCTAAGCCCCCCCCCCCAATTCAAAAGTTGAAATTGCGCCTATGTATACGCGTCAATATATATGTTACTGTGAAATTTGAATGTCCACATATCGGTGAGTGATGACAATCACGATGCACCTAGGTACTAAATTGGTGAATCGTGAATGTCGACAAATTAGAATAATATAGACAAATACCTACCTACTAGTGAATGTTCACATTTACATCAGGATTTTGGTCAATTTTGAAATACACAATACCTAGTACAACACGATTTTAGTTATTTGGTAGTTAATAATAATATTATATTATAGTACTATAGTTTATAGACAATAGGTAATATAAAATAGAAACAATACGTTTGAATTAAGTGGCAATGCTGTAACCACAACTTGTTTTTGTCTTTCCGGAGGTTCATGATAGTTCCTATTAGACCAAACGGTGGTTTAGGCTAGTATATTCAAATTCCCCTGTAAACAATTTAAGTGTCATTGTGAGAGCAAACGGATATAATGGATAACTCATGTAGTCAGATACTCAGATAGTCTATATAACCACCTGAGATGGACAATTAAAACAAGTGACTGAATTAAAAATAACTCAATTCAATAGAGATAAAATAGACCTAAACCTATCATACTACAACAAAAACACTACCGTTGCATAAATATAATATCACGACCAGTCAACCAGACTAACCTACCTGCCCTTGCTTAGTGATTGGTTCATTACAGCTTTCATAATGTGTTTTCTCCTGTAACAATCCACGTATTTCTACATTTTATATAATAGGATTTGTTTAAGTTAATAGTTCGGTACATATTCTCTACCTGTTATATGCTGATGATTTAATCGTTTTCTACGAAATAGACAATATTTCATTTAAAATGTTTTTAATAAATTTAAATTACTTGTTGTATGCTTTCCAACGAGTACCTAACAATTTAGGTACCAATAAGTAATTTATTTGTTTTGCATATGACAATCGGCTAGTAAATAAATAAATAATGATGTTTGGCATTAATTTGACTGACATTATTATTTTATTGCTAAAAATATTTACGGTTTAAATAGGAACTATAGTTTACACTTTAATTTCAGTTTTGGTACGAACTTTATCAAAATGACCACTAATTTTCACATAACCGTAAAACCCATTTTATTTATATCAAAGTGTATGGGCTTAATTGATATTTCATATACTGTTGAACCGTCTGGGTTATTGGTTCGGAATAAAAACTCAAATGTTCTTAAATTACTAGAAATAGCACGTATTATTGTGTTGTTGATATGCACTCACATATATTATAATCAATATGAGCCAAAAATTCATATATTGCAAATTATAAATATTGTTCAATTTTGGAATACCATTATCGCAGCCAGACTATCGACAATATTGATAATCAAGTACCTACCTATATATTTATTATGTTTTAAAATATAAATTAGTCTAGGACATAGGTACAATATTTATTTATTTGTATTAAATTAACTTACCAGTGGTATAATGAGAAATTCATTAATACATTGATTTTAATTTACAAATAATTAAGTTATTTAATATTTTAAGATTTCCAAAGCAATTGGATAATCTGAATTTATAATTAATATTAATTCATAAAATATTGTAAGAGCCATTTTTTTATTTAGTATTTTAATAACATTTGAATAACCTCTAAAATTTCTTTGAGCTAGTTTAAAGAATTTTAAAAGTTTAATAGTTTAAAATAAGTATGGGCAGTTTAGAACGGATTTGGTAAATTGAGTCCTATATTACTATTTTTAGGTAAACTGAGTCCCCTGTAAAAAAATTAAAGCGGTGAATTGAGTCCCCTGTAAAAAAATGAAAGCGGTGAATTGAGTCCCTTGTGAAAAAATGAAAGTGGTGAATTGAGTCCCTTATAAAATATTTATTCTAGTAAATTAATAATGCTTATTAAATAGGTAATCAATGTCAACTTTTAAATGAATAATACATAATACATATAATAATTAATTTTGTCAATAATAATAATAATGGGTAATCAATGTCAACTTTTAAATGAATAATACATAATACATATAATAATTAATTTTGTCAATAATAATAATAATGGGTAATCAATGTCAACTTTTAAATGAATAATACATAATACATATAATAATTAATTTTGTCAATAATAATAATAATGGGTAATCAATGTTAATATAATAATAAATAATACTCTTGATATTAAACGGGTAAATATTTTAATGATACGAGCTTAATAAATTGAAGTCTACTAATTTCATTATTTTTGTACTTCGTCATTTGTTCTCTTAATATATTCTCCTTTTCTATGTTGTGTTTTGATTTTTTGCATAGCTCTTTACTTCTTATTTGAATATATGTATTAGATTGGATTTCTTTGAGTGCATCAATAAAAATATAAATATTTGGATGTGAAGTATAAAATAAACTATTCAGCTTTGCGTGAAATGATTCACAACTATTTGTTGTACGATTAGATATTGTCGAAAATTCAGCCCAAAGATTAGGCGGGAATGTAGAATCTGATGCAATGTATGTTTTTAAAATATAATCGGTGAATAATTTTATATTTTCATTTGCAGGAAGCTTTGGCATAATATCTTCAATGAAACAATCGTAAACATCGTTCGGTCTTAAAAATGGTAAACCAAAAAAAAACCAAATAAAATTACTGTTTTTCAAAAGCGGTGAATCGAGTCCCTTGTATAAAAGTTAAAGCGGTGAATTGAGTCCCCTGTAAAAAAATGAAAGCGGTGAATTGAGTCTCTCGTATATTATTAGACTAGTTTTCAAAATTACCTATATTGGAAAAAAGATCTATAGACTATAAACAATAGTTGTACACTGTAAAGCAGTTAATTCTAAATTTCTACTTGCTTACCGTGATTCAAATACTGTGTATATTCAAATAAGATCTACTTACTGACTTTTATACGTTTTTCAAAAAAAAATATTGAAATGATAAAGTATTTAGTTTTTAATCATAATTGCCGGATAAATATCGAGCCTATCATGTGCCATGATAAAATAAATTAGGAACTGTATCAATTCCTTCATTGACTCCTCAGTAATGTTTTCATTAATCCCATATATCGAGTTTATTTTATAAAATATTTATGGAATTTATACGTTTATTAAAATAATTCGTCGGTGATAAAGCAATACTACGTAACTCCAAAAAAATCGAAAATGACTTTTATACATCAATTTTTTCAGAAAAAAATAACCTATATTTTGGTGTAAATACCTCGTAAATATTCGTATTTCCAAGGAGGTTATAAACTGTGAAGTAATATCATGTAAATCCATTATTAAATTGTCTACTGAAATACCTCGTATCACCGTGATATCAGATGTTCAACCAATATCACGTAAATCCATTATCAATTATTTTGATTCAAATATCTCGTATCTCCGTTATTTCAAACACGGACAAATAAGAAATCAATGTGATTCATAAATTAATCATAATAACGAAAGACAACGGTGGTTTATTTGTTTTATTCTTTTAATTTAATTACCTGACTAGGTACAATTATTTATTTAGTTTTGTTTGTGTCAAATTGTATTAAATTAATTTAAGCTAAGCGTTATGAATGAACAAGAAATTGACAAACTGTTAAAACAGTTTGAACACGACGGTAATTATAAAAGTTAAATTTTTTTAATTCGATCTGGAAAAATTAATTCTACATAAAATAATATAATATTTTATTTCAAATTATTAGAACAACAATATTATAGTGATCAAGATGAGTCAACTAATGATACTCAAATTACTGAAAATAACAATTCTAATGATGGTAATTATTAATTTTTATTGAGGTACCCTAGTATTTAAAACCTAACAATATTTTTCTATTTTTAAATGGTTTTGAAGGTATCATTAGTACTGATCAAATCATTTTTGTAACACATGAAGAAATTGAAAATGAAAACTCACAGATTTCTAATCAATTTGTTATTGTGGAAAACCAAGATGTGTTCACTGATATACAGATTACTGAAGATAATGATTCCAATGATGGTAAATTTTTTATTTTTAGGTATCTCATAAATATAGTTTAAGCTAACAAAATTTTTTTTTTTGTATGGTTTTTAAGATGTTATTAGTACTGATCAAATCATTTTTGTAGCAAATGAAGATATCGATAATGAAAATTCTCAGATTACTAATGAAGTTATTTTTGTTGAAAATCAAGATGCGTCCACCGATGACATACAGATTATTGATGACAATGTGACTACCAGACTACGAAATAAAAAAAGTTCACCCAAAAATTGGAAAAGAAATTTAAATAAAGTTTTGCGTATGGAAGGTAAAGATTACGTTGGTTACAGACGAACTAAAAATAAAGTCATTTTTCATGATGTAAATAAAAAAGCTAGGAAGATTGGTCCTACTTGTTGCAGTAAAGCCTGTGAAAAATCATCTATACGAATGTGTAATTCATTTTCAGAAGATGACCGATTAAAAATATTTAATGACTTTTGGTCTAACTTGAATTGGGACGAAAAAAAACTTTATGTGACATTTCTTGTGAAAAAAATCCCTGTTGAACGACGAAGAGTTGAAGCATCAGTTACATCTCGAAGAACTCATACTTTCTATTACTATTTGAAACTCAACAACGTTCCAGTAAGTGTTTGTAAGACTATGTTTCTAAACACTCTTAGATTAGGTGAGTATCAAGTGCATAGTTGGTGTTTAGGTAGAGAACTAGTTGAAAATGATCCTTTTAATAAAAAATCTAGTCAGCCTAGAGAAAAATCAGCGCATAAAACCTTTGCAAAAACATTTTTGGACAAACTACCAAAAATGGAATCACATTATTGCCGTCAGTCATCTTCCAAACTATATCTTGAACCTCTCATACAATCCAAGTCTAGTCTTTATAATTTGTATGTAGAACAATGTAACACAAAAGGAGAAACATTTGTTTCAAGAAAAACTTTCATTGATATATTTGAAAAAAAAAACCTTTCTTTGTTTCAACCTAAAAAAGACCAATGTGATATTTGTTGTGGACACAAAACTAAAAATATTAGTGACGAAGATTATAATAAACACATTCAAGATAAAGATCGGAGTAGACACGAGAAGAATATGGACAAAGAGAAAGCAATCTTAGGAGAAGTGCAAGTTTTTACAATGGACTTGCAAGCAGTAAAAATTTGTCCATCATTAAAAGCTAGCGCGTTATACTACAAGTGCAAATTATGTGTACATAATTTCACCATGTACAACTTGGCTACTCAAAAATGTATGTGTTACTGGTGGGATGAGACCCAATCTGATTTATCAGCATCCTCATTTACTAGTTGTATTATTGATCATCTAAAAATGTGTTATAATGAGAATCCAAATAACAATAGTTATATACTCTGGAGTGATGGATGTTGTTACCAAAATAAAAATGCTGTTTTATCAAGTGCACTATTGAAGTTTGCTGAAGATCATAAAATATCCATTGAGCAAAAATACCTCACTAAGGGACACACTCAAATGGAGTGTGATTCAGTGCACTCCTCAATAGAAAGAAAATTAAAAAATCAAGACATTTACTTACCTTCAGACTATCAAAAAATTACAAAAATAGCTAGAATAAACCCATTTCCATATAATGTCAAAGAATGTGATTTCAATTTTTTTTTAAACTATCAGACAAAAAATAATAAATTTGATTCTATAAGACCAGGCAAAAATACTGGAGATCCTACAGTGACACAAATAAAAGCAATTCGTTATAACTGCAGTGGAACTATTGATTTCAAAGTGAATTTTGATGATGAATATTCAGATCTTGCACTTGCTCAGAAGAAAAGGAAAAGGGGAAACGATGTTGATCCTGCTATTAGTTATAGTCAACTTCATAAGGAACCATTGAAAATACCCAAAACAAAATGGGATCATTTGCAGCAACTAAAAGCAGTTCTCCCTCATGACTGTCATGCATTTTACGACCAAATTAAGTATTAATTATTTATAGAAATATTATTTTATTGTTTTATTATTATTTTAATTGCTAAGTTTAAACAAGAAAAAACTATTATTTTAACAGTTTATTATTAAAAAATGTTAGGTTACATTAATTTGTATTGTTATTATTTTATGTTATATATTATCTATAAACTATTAAAATTATAAAGGAAAAGCTCAATTATAATATTAAAGTTATCATTTATTTTACCACTAAAGACTCAATAAAAATGAAATTAATTGTGATACTAATAATTATTAATTATGTTATATTAAAAGTTGTTTTTAAAAGTAATAAAATACAAATTATATTAATACTTTTTATATTATATTATATTAAATCATATTATTTTAATTGTTTAAGTTTAAAAGGAAAAAAACTATTATTTTAACTGTTTAATATCAAAAATGTGAATGTTTCTGTACTAAATAATATTCAAGACTGAATTATTATACTGAATAACTGAATAATGAATTATTATACTGTTATATTGTTATTATTTTATGTATCAACTATTATAATGATGTAGAAAAATCTCAATTATAATACTAAAGTTAACATTTATTTTACTATTAAAGATTTTATAAAATTATAATTAATTGTTATACTAATAATTATTAATTATTTTATGTTAAAAGTTGTTTTTGAAAGTAATAAAATATTTTAAATCATATTATTTTAAATTATTATAGTTTTGTATTTATGAACTAATACCACGTAAGTCACCAAAATTATCAAAATTAACATTACAATACCTCGTAAGTCCTATAATTAATCATAATAATTAATAATTAACAATTTTTTAATAGTATTGAATTTTAATAAATACATAAAATATAATTTAAAATAGTTGATGAAAACTGATTGAAAATTTGATTTTATAAATACATTTTTGTGTTTCCTGAAAAATTGGCTTTTTGGAGTTACTTGGTATTGCTTTATCACCGACGAATTATGCCACTTTCTGTTTTGTTTTTTTTTTTTTTTAAGACCATTTAGAAATCTATACTTGTATTTCTTCAAAAAAATACTTTAATGCTACAAAAGGAAATATTATATTGCATTTTATTTATCTGATTGGGCATAAACCTAAATATTAATAAATGCTTCTCAATGTGTTTTTACATATCTCATGAGTAATTGGAAATATAAATTATACGTATTCCATTAATAATATATTATAATTTAATTAATATCACCCATCAAGGCTTTTTTTTCTTATTTTTTCCCAATTATATAAAATTACAAGATATAGTGTATTATAATGAGTCATTATTAATGACCCATCATAAAATAAATAGCTACCAGAATCCTACCTCTAAACTGAAGATTAAAGTATTTTGTCTTTTTCAAAATATGACATAATATGTATTATTTATAAAACAAATATTATACATACGTAATATTGTAAAAAAAATTCCTTCACTGCTAAGAACATGAAGGTTGAATCATAATAATGTTTAATACTTTAATATTATATCATAAAGGTATAATAGCATCATTTTTGAACTAGTATTCAATATTAATAAACGAAAATAAGATATTATACTTACCTATTACATATGGCTACACTAAGTTTGATAAATATGCACGATAAATATTTTTACAATAATCGGGGTAGTTACTCAAATTAAATACCTGTAGTGTGAGATATTATCATAATAATTAATTGTAACATTAATAATATTCATAATTATTTTTATTTTTAGATTTATTAATGGAATTGTCGAGTTTGATCAAAATATTACACCACTTTCAACAAATATGTTGATCCCTCAACGTACATGGACAAAAAAACATTGGAATACAATTCTTATTTCGTTGTTCACATACTTTATTGGTTTTAAATGTTTACAAATATATTTTTACTCGTTTAGAACAGAAAACACTACGTTGATTTTACAACGTATAATAATCACTGTACCATTTATTATGGATTATGTAATTACGATATCATCTTGTTTCTTTCTTCAAAATATGTATGCCAGATTCCAGACATTAAACGATCTGTGGAAATGTCTACCTTCCGACTTAGTCCCCATCTCCGACCAATGGACACACATCGAAATTGTGGTTTTTATGGAAAACACACGACTGCTACACGCTGAACTCTGCGAATTGTTAAAAATGTTTACTCTAGGTTACGGTAGAATGCTTTTGGGTTTATTCGTATTCAGCTTTATCAATTTGATTTCCAGTATTTATATAATTATCAACCATAGAGCATTATACCTATACGACTCTTATTCAACCAACAAATCTTATTCACGAATATTACCATTGATGGTCGATGTACAAATCATCACGTTTCTGATGTCTATTATCGTTTTCGTTTCATTTATAAACGAGAAGGTAGGCAACTCAAAGATAATTAAGATTACAATAAAAAAAAATCATTTGCATGTATTCAAACAAAACCATGAAACTGTGGACTTAAAAAAACATCCATTTTATATTTAATGTAAATTATTGTACTATATAGTAGGTAGGTACATTAATATAAATAACTAAGGTTATTACTCCTTAAATTTTTTAAAATTTAGATGTATTAACATCATAAATAAAATATTATTTCATAGTTACGAGAAAAGGCCCTTCTGGAAATAAATAACCACAGTACAATATTATTCTACTAGGTATATTGTTATGGTATTTATATTCAATTTTATTTTATTTGTAGTTCAATTTTTGTATGTTAATGTATTTTGATGTAGTTACATATTTATGTATTTTGTTTTATTTTATACATTGTATAATAATCGTATAAATGAGCTGTTTTCCTATGTAGGCAGAATAATATTTTTATATAATCCAAAATTAATTAGGTTTTTATATACTATAAGAATCTGCTTTTCCAGTATATATTTTATTTTATTTAAACAACTATTGCCATGCATTAACAACAAAAACCATATTTTAAAATTATTTTCACAGAGATTGAAAATGATATCATATCTAAGATTATATAGAATTTCAAATTTACACTTTGACATAAAACGACAGGTAAAAATGATATAATTTATTTATATTTGTACAATATAGATTTATGATTATTTATTTCCTAATTATATATTGTTTATTGTTCAGATCAAAATGTTTATGAATCAAATATCAGTTTGTGATTCAGACCGAATTTCGGCATTTGGGTTTTTTGAAATCAATTTAAATCTCGTTACATCTGTAAGTAATCGTTTTTTTTTTTGTTCATCTTTAATAATATCAGAACTGTATGATTCTATTTCGTTTGATTTATTCTTTTGTATATTAAATCCACTTGTTCTTAATCGTTTTATCTTCACAGGATATTGACGATAACAATATATTTTTACCTATACTTGTTCACATTGGAACACTAATCGAGAATAGAGATTAACTGGTCATATCATTAGATTCTATTAAGTAAAAAAGAACAAAAATGTCTAGAGTTCTAAAATATTATGTGTGATGTGTCTTACATTTTGGGGATTCTAAGAGTCTGTTAAAGAATATACTTAGTTTATAATTTGTTTTGTTTGTTTACAGATACTGGTATTATTGATTAGTGGAGTAATCACATTAATACAGATGAAAGATCATCCAATGATATTGAAATTAAATAATGATACTTATTCTTTTTTTGCAAATTATACGAATTTAAAATTTAATTAAGTATTTAAGTGAATAGTATTTGTATATAAGTTTATGTTAATAGTAATAATGAACAGCTGAATAACCTTGAATTTTTCTAAAAATATCAGTATCAACATTTTCTACACATGTTCTACACATTTTTTTTTATATATATTACTCTTTTTGAGAGAGGTATTAATTATACACTTTTTTTTTTGTATTTTTTCTTCATTATATAAAAAGTTTAACCCATTAACGGCCAACATATTAAATAATGATTAATATAACATTTAATGCATAGTTCTTCATGAGTTTTTTTTTGTAGTTATTAAAACATAAAAAACAATAAAGTCTCAATATTTTTAAATTATTTTAAATTGTGTTATACTCATTTTCATATTTTTACACATCCTCAAAGTCCAAATATCAGTTTTTCAGGGGGGTGCCTATATAGACTAATACTCTAGTCCCAAAATGTTCAATCAATTGATTTTTTGCCAAGTTCAGTTCTTGCACTTCTCTCAGAATTGTTTAATAGTTTTTAATGAGTGTTATTTTTATTTTCCTTGTTCAAAATCTCTGTCAGCAATAGTTATGATATATTTTGTGGATCCTTCATCCGCAGAGTGTGGTGTATCAATAGAAACGTAGTCTTGGATTCGTAGAGTCTTGGTAGTGTTAGCGGGCAATATTCAAAAGAATATTAGTACGGGTCAGGAATGTAATAACGGACACTAGACGGGTGTAGACGGTATTAATGTAGACTTTATTAATAAGAACACGGTACATCCAAGCACGACAGTTACTGTGCCGGTGATGGTGTAGATATATAAAATACGGAATATAACACAAGTACATTAAACGGTAGTATTACTAAACGGGGGTCACTGTTAGCGGTTGTACGGAGGCACGCGGCGAAAACGGACGGAGTCGCCGGACCTTTACAAAGACTAGAAACTGACTGCGACATGTTCGGTCACGTCGCCGCTGCGGCGCACCGAGCCTTATTACGAACACCGGCCTAGGGCTCAGTGTGACCACCGTTATACAATAAATAATTACATAGATAAAGGCTAAAATATTGGCGCCAACAGTAGCAAATACCTAAGTCCGTTTGATTATAAATTAATATAAAATATATTTATATATAGGTATTAGGTAGATACGAAATTTGATCATCATGCCTACAAAGTTACAGCCTACAGGTACTAAGCTACTAACTAGAAAGTAACTACTAATCTCAAGTATTTTTTGGTCACCCTTCCATCGATAACTCCAGCCACAGTAGCTGTGAAGTAGGTGCCTATAAATTGCACCTTTGACACACCGTTAGCTAGTGGAACTTTACTGTGGAAGTTTTATTGGATAATAACATCAGATCATTTAAAAGATTTCTAAATAATACCTATGCATTTTTCACAATATACCTAAACTATAATATACGCATTTACAGTCGAATCCGTTTAATTGGGACACATCTGGCGGTGACCTATTTGTTCCCATTATCCCGACTGTCCCGACTAACCAAAGAATTTTACATACAATACATTCATTCGGGACCGTCATTAATGTCCCTATTAAGCAGGTGTCCCCTTTAAGTGGCGTCCCCTTTAAGCGGATTCTACCGTAATGCTATAATATATATATAAGTATATAACATTATAACATACCTATCTATCATGGCTACACATAATTATGTAGTTGCAAGTTTCAGTTGTTCTATATTTCTAGGTATAGTGATAGGTAGTCTATATAAGTTAGATAGTGTATAACTTTACATTTAATTTTATTAAAACTTATCGTATAAAATTCAGTTATTTATCCAGTTCATAGAAAAACTGCAATCTGAATATTAGCGAACTCAGATTTATAATGCTTATTTAGTGACACGTTTAACAAGACTAATTTACCATAATCAGCGTTGAAACAATTAGGTAATAAATTAAAAATTATTAAAATTAATATATGCTAATATCATAAAACAAGAGAAATTATATTTAATTATACAATTTTATTGATTTTAGAGTGAACAAATTACGATAATCTTATATTAATAAGAAGTTTTACTTGCATAATAACACGCGGTTAAATTGTTAAAACCTCCTAAGAAATGAATTCAAAAAAATATTAGATTCTGAGCGGAGCGATGAATGTATTGGTTTTACAATGATGTATGTTTTTATATTTTTATATTTTTTTTTGTGTCTGTCATCACGTTTTGGGACAGTAAAAGTGCTTCGATTTTCTTCAATAGTACCTTTTCTGATAGGAAAGTGAATCTAGTTGGTACTTTGGGGGGTCAAAAGTAAACATTTTCCAGTAGTTTTCACAAGCGCCGGGAAAAACAACATAAAAATTAAGGAAAAACGGGAATTTTTACGCAAAATCGATTTTCCAAAAAATCGAATTTGGTTATTGGTGTAACTTTAAAACAAATGACCGTAGATACATGAAATTTTCATTGGTTGTTTATATTTGCATTTTCTATACACGATAACATTTTCAAAATATTTTGATTTATTTTGAACTGTTTAGGGACATTTTCATTTTTCATTTTATTTTAGTTTTTTTTCTAGAAATATCAATAAAATTTTATTTGTTGGTTGCGAAAGCTTGAAAATTTAATAGAAGGCTCCTAATATGTTGTTTCAAAGGCAGATGAAAAATATTAAAAATCCTTAGTCACAATTTTTTTTTATAAGCATTTAAAGTTCAAAAATTGACAAAATATGGAAAAATCACGAAAATTAGCAAATTATTTTGAGTTAAGAATTCGTAAAAATTTTTCTTTTTAAATCTAAGATTTGAAAATGAAACACAAGATTCCTTATAAGATTATCTACCTTTATCAATAAAAAAATCTCTACCGGACAGTCAAATTAAATTTTTATGAGCGTTTGAAATTCAAATTTTTACAACATTGGATTTTCACTCGATTTCTCATGTAGCGATTTCCTTATTTTGTTGTAATTCAAAAACGAATAACTGTAGATACATGAAAATTTCACTGAATGTTTATATTAGCATTTCATATACACCATACAATTTTGAAAATATTTTGACTCTTTTTGAGCTGTTTATGGACATTTACAGCTTTCAATTTTTTTTAGTTTTTTTTTCTATAAATATCAATAAAGTTTTATCTGTTGGGCCAAAAAGTGTAAAAATTTAATACAAGGCTCCTGATATATTGTTACAATATCAGTTGAAAAATATTAAAAATACATAGGCACGATTTTTTTTTATAAGCATTTAAAGTTGGAATTTTGACAAAATTTATCAAAATCTCGAAAATTATCAATCGTTGGAATTAAAAAATTATAAAATGTTCAGTTTTTATAACTAAGAGTTGAAAATTTAAAACAAAGATTCTCTTAAATAATTCATACTGTAACCAAAAAATCTAAAAAATATATAAACACACTTATTTTTTACAGACATTTTAATTTCAAATTTAGACAAAATTTCATATTTAAACCAAGAATTACGATTTTAGTTATTTTGTTGTGATTGAATAATACTATTCGTGGGTACTTGAAACTTCTAAAGTGTACTATTATATATCTATGATAGTATCACGGTTTTTGTTGATGTATAACGCGTTATAAGTATCTAATGGATATTGTGATATGATTAATTTGGAATTTATTATAGGTACCTATTATAGGTCAATTTTTTGTTTAATACCATAGATATGTATATAATATGCCTTATACATAGACTGACATACCATCACCGCTCAGAATCGTTTTTCTTATACAATGATATTATATCATTGAATTCAAATTTAATACCATCCATTATACAGTGACCCACTTGTAACCTACTGTACAGCAGAGCGACACCCACTTGCCCACCTTTTTTTTTATTTTATTTTCTATTCGACAATAAGATTATTGACGTTCACCATTTATTAAATATAATTCAGAGGACGTCACACCCACATGAGTCGTCTCCGTCTTACACACGTACGATATACACAAAACGCGTTTACGAAGTCTGAGTATAAATCACTAAATTTTGGTTCTAGAGTAAAAATACCTTTTATAAAATTGAACTGTGACAATATTTTTGAGGACAAAGTCGTTGTGTTATATCCATTATATCGCTTACAAATAGCAAAAATGTCAACATTTTTAAAATACCTTTAACTTAATTTCCAAATTTAAATTTTTTTTTAAAAACTCAACGTCTTGTCCTCCAAAATATTGTCATCTTTTAATTTTGTTAGAGGTGTTATTATTCTAACACCAAAATTGAGCGAGTTCTACTCAGACTGCGTAAACGCGTTTTTTCTATGTCGTACGTGTGTAAGACGGAGACAACACATGCGGGTGTGACGTCCTCTTAAGTATACTCGTATTTATTATTAATTAATCAATGCGTTCACATTTCGAACAAATAACAATACTTATTTACATATCGTTGCCACTTGACACAGTGGCGTGTTAAACAATTTTCTTTGTTGAGGCCCAGAAATAATGTTCTGTAATCTGTACCAACTACCAAGTACTATACCGACCGGCGACTACAATCACCAGTTGTATGATCTATAAATTATAATCAGTATAGGTACTTATGTTTTATTTTAGTTTTTTTTATTATAAATATGTTCTTGGGCTGGACACGAGTTTTTTATTTCTGACCGATTTTTCGTAAGGTTCTTATTGTCAACAATAACATATTTATGATTTTTAGATTTTCCTTGTAGTCTGTAGAGGTAAAATATCGAGTACTGCCAGCTTGCCAGCTATGTTTTTTTGAACTTGTTCCATTGTAGCTAGTAGAGTAATTATTAAATAATACAATTTTTTTGTAACCTAAGTACTTGTTTTATAACTATACCCGTTTTCAAAAGAGAACACACCGCTTTCGCACATGTCGAATGATTCAATTGGTGAGTGAAGAACGCTAACAATGGGAACTTGGGGGGGGATGCGCGCCGCCGGACATAAATTGGTCGCCAAACGGTATGTTCTCTTTTGAAAACGGGTATAAGTACGTTGCAATCAATCGATATCATTTAGATTACTAAATTG